ATTTATTAAATAAATATTTATTTTAATATAATTATTATTATTTCGAAGATTTTTAAATTTTTTTGAAATAAAAATTTTTGGAGTTTATTATTTTAAAAACTTTTGAAGATTTTCGAAAATTTTTTTTTGGATAGAGATTTTCAGAGATCTCCACTAAAAAAATTTCCTGATAAATATATAAATTCATTTATTTAATAATTTAAAATTGATATAATTGAATAAAACTATAGATAAAAAAAACAAATAACTTTTAATATATTTTATATTAATATTATAAAAAAAATTTATAAAAAAAAATAAACCATTTTAAACAATAATATTAGATAATACAAAAAGATTTTTAAGTATTATTAAAACTTATATAATTGTTAAAAGCTTTTTTGTTTTAAAATCTTTTGATTATATATATATATATATATATTAAGAACTAAAGTATAATATACATGAGGATTTTTATTATAGATTAAAAATTACAAATAACCATTATATGAACAGTCTAGTTTAACTAACATACTGCCCTTATTCTAACTTAAGTACCAACTTTAATATCATGAAGGTAAATTCATACTCAAATATGAACTACAGAGAGCTTTTTTGTTTTTTGTTTTTTGCCTGTTTGACTATTACTAGAGTTCCTTATCACTTTATCCTATGATACACATATCAGTTATTTTTTGATTATATTTATAATCCATATAGTTTTAAAATTACTAACAAATTTAACAAAAATATTAAAATACAGTATATCAAATAACAAATACAATAATCTAATTGTCTTTAGAATTAAGCTTTTATTAGAAACTTTTTTTATATGAATAATAATTCTACAGATATTTACAAATATTAAAAAATAAAAAACTCTCTTCTAATCATATCCGTTTGTTAAAAATTTTCCTTTTATAGTAATTTTAAGCAAGAAAAAATGTTTTACTCTCTTTATCACAAGTGAGCCCTAGCTCAGAAACTCAAGAATATTCAAGACAACTGGTGCAGTAGGATAGGACCTCTGATTAAAGTCTATTCAAGTTTGGGAATCTTGTTTATCCTTCAGTTGCATGAGAAAAAGCCTGTGGCAGTTCTTTTTTCTTTAGTTCTCTTGTATCCTTTTTTACCTTTATTCTATTATAAAAATCATTCACATCATTATTATTATACTCGCTAAACCAAATACTTTCCAAAACATATACTCAAACAGAATTAGTGAGTTTATTATTTGTTTCAAGTCAATACTTATACACAATATTCTCATAGCAATATTTGCTATACCACTTTCACCCTTCAAAAATTTCTCACTCAAAAAACTGAAATCAATTTACCCCCTTCAGATAATCAGTACTCTTCAATTATCCAATCAAATTTCATCTAATGATTAAAACAAAAACCAAATAAACTCAAACCAGTTTTGTATCACAACAATAATCATAACAACAATAACAAATAACTCATCACCAATAACCATAACAACAAACAACATTACATGTACTCTATTATTTATAGCACATGGGGAGCCAAAGATTTGGGACCACAAGCCTACCAAGGAGTTCTTTTGTTTAACACATGGATTATATGGTATATTTGATTTAGTTTTAATTATAGTTAATTTTATTTTTCTTTTCAATTTTTTATATTCAAAAAATCAAAAGAATTCACAAAATTTTCTGGAATAGTAGGCATAGCCACTACTCAGTCTTATCTAGCACATTAATATTGATTTTGAATTTTTATATAATATTAGTTAGATATTGATAAGTAAGCAAGCTAACATTTAACTTTCCTGAAATAATGAAAGAGATGTTGTTTCTTTCAACAATGTATACCTTGTTATATACAAATCAAAATAAAGAAATAATATTTATTTACTGGAGAAACCCTTCAAAAAAAAAAAAACAAATATTAAAAAATTTTTAAATAAAAATAAAATAAATTATTGAAAAATTTTTTAAATTAAAGTAACTTATAATAAAAAAATTTTTATATAGAATTATAATTAATTTATAAACTCAAAAAAAATATGTGAATTAATAATAATAATAAATTATTATAATTTATTTTGTTGATTTAATTTAATTAATAAAAAAATTTTTTATATTTATTATAACTTTTGTAACTTATTGTTTTTAATTATATTATTATTTCCATCTTCTTATCTAATATCTAACTTTTTAATTATTAAAGTTTAATTATAATATAATATATATAATATATAATATATGGTTTTGATATATAATAAAAAATTTTTTTTAATGTCATAATCTACATAATTTCAAAATTGCAGAAACAAACGCATGTAAACCATCAGCATCAATTCACGTTACTGGTGAAAGTATCATTTCCATCTTTTATCTTCAACAAACGATTTGGCGTTATTGACTGCAGTTTTTGCCGTTTCACTTGCATCAAAATTACAAACTTTATGAGCAAAGGTTTCAATATGTTCATTCCATGTAGATTTAAACGTTGGAATTAGTCGATGATTAATATAATTTTTTGTTTGAGCAATAGATGGAACAGGTAGTTGCGGACGATTATTTGGTTTAGTGGGTGAAATATTTGACTCATTTCCCTGTTAAAAAGGAATCAATCGTTTAATATTGCAATATTTGATGAGTAAAAAACAAATTCCGATAACTTGCCAGATTATTTTTCAAGTGACCAGGTAAAGCAGCTTCAAGTTGATTTTGAGATTTGTGTAGCATTACCCGGATTTGACTTGTATTGTTCTCTATATTTGACTGAAAGCTGTAAAGCAAAGCCGAGGATGTTATAAGGCCAATAGTAGTAGCCATAAGTTTTGACATTTTTTTTTCGCCTGTAAGGAGAAAGCTGATAGATTTTCGCGTATTTATACCGTTTTCCACATGACCACAGATCACGTGAAAATATAAATACGCATAACGCGTCCATGATTTTTTGGTAAAATGGCTAACGAGGGAGGAGGTTAGTTCATATTAATTTTGTACAGGTTTTACTTAACTACTAGAATTCTGATTTAGTCATAGATTCACAGCTTCCCGAAAAGTATCATGAGCGAGCACTTGCGCGGAGAAGGGGTATTCATCGGACAGAATTCAGAAATTTCACTATTGTGGTCCCGGATCAAGATGAATCAGAAAGTAGTCCGTTGGCCACGCCGAAAAATTTTGAGAATCAGACGTTAAATTGCGAGGACACAAGCAACTTTGGTGAAGATAATTCATTGGTGTTAGAAATTGAATTTGAGAATCGGAAACGATTAAAGACTTTAGACATCAACGACAACGTTGTTATGTCACCACGTGAATCAAATATAACCACATTGGAATCGGCTATTACCGCAATATCTAATACTGAGCCTAATAATACTGGACAGATAGCTGAAATTATAAATGACACGCCTATGTTGATTGATTCGCCTGCTATCTCGTTAAAACCAGCGTTTGGAGATGCTATAAGGTCATCAAGAACTTTGGCGCATAATGAATTCAGTAGGTCTTTAACACCATCTACACTCAAAAGTTTCAAATGTCAAATACATTTTTTGTTTCTTATTTGACCACGAAAGGTATAATATCACCCGGTAAGACCGCCAGGACGTCGTCCGTCGATTTTGTCGACGATAATTTTGATGAGTCTGATGCGATGAAAACGGTGAATGAAAACGATAATGTTGGGACGAAAAACAGTGACCACATACACCCCGGGTACGAGAACAAAAATAATAAATGTCATAGTATAACACAAGTTTACTTAGGGAAGCAGGTAGGTGATCGATGCTTACACCATTATTTTAAAGGATAATTAAACAATGAGTTAAACAAAGTTTATTATTGAGCTCTTAGGTATTGTCAACTAAACCGAACTTGGATACACCTAAATCCTGGTCAAACAAAATCATTTCGCGTACTTCCACTAGAACGAATAGTCAAACCAACATTACGTTGTCGAACACAACGATGTCTATTTGTGATAATGATGAACAGCAATTTGATGATACTAATAATAATCAGTCATCATCTGATAATTATGAATCTGAAGGTAGTATTATTATGGCTAATGTCAATGAAAAGAGCAAAGTAAGGAGTTTGAAGAATAAAAGAAACGTCAAGATTGTTCGAAATGAGGAACAGAATGGTATTACGGCCGCGAAATCGAATGAAATTAAAATCATTAACGACGTTATTAAGGATACAATTTCAGAATTTTTGTATGCTTCCTTTTTCATTTGTCCTTTGATTTCATGTTTCTTCTGAACTTAGATAAATTTTGCAATAAATAGGAAAGATCAAAACGAAGGTGAAAGTTTATATGGAAAAGAAATTCTTAATTTCAAAAAGGAAGTTGAATCTCGCATTCTCAAACAGGTTTGATTATTTTTTTCAAGTTTTGTATTTTTCGAAAAGCCCATAAAATAATATGTATTCGAATTTCAGTCGGATCTTGTTAATGAACAAATAACGATGCGATCTTCTTTAAGAAAAGCGAGGTCACGAATCAACCAATTGAATAAGGAAATCACATGTTTACAGCATAAACGCGAAAAAATTGATGAAGATTTGTCTATAGAGAGAAAAGCATTTAAAACTTATGAACAAAACAGGAAGGTTGCTATTTTTATTTGTCAATTATTATATGATTCTTTGATTTTATATTATCTCTTTCTACATCTAATTCAATCTTAATATCAAAGAAATTAGAACAAATACACGGTTTCCTCTCGGATATGGAAATTTTGCGAGAATCCGTCATGTCTAAGGATATTTCAAGGGAGGATGATGAAGTTTTGGTAAGTCAATGCGTATTATTTCTTTTTAAGATCTGATCTTATCATTTTTGCCATTATGATTTTTAATTTTAGGATGGATTCGAAGGTCTTTTGACCAGTACGACATTCAAGTGTTGTGATGTTTCATATTCTGTTGGAGCTTTTGATACTATTGGTCGAGTACCTTTAAATAAGGAGGGAAATTTGGCAACCATATCCCAATTCAATACATTACTAGAAGCCTGTGAGCATATTATACGACAATCGTCAAATGGCGGTTAAAATATTATATATATTCTGAACATTCATTGGTTTACAACTTGATACAAACAGAATGAACTAGAAAATATAATGTGAATTACCACAATTATTAACGTTTTTTAATTACCTAATTACTTTTGTAACATTAATGAGAATGTTAAATAATCGAATTACATTACCATTCATATTGCGTCGTGAGGAAATTTTTGATTCCTGAATTATTATAGGGAATTAATTTTTATGGTGCACAACATACAATATAGTTCAATAAGTAATCTTATATTTATTGAATGATTATTATTTAAAAAATAAGGAATTATTCAATAGGCAATATAATTTTTATAAAAGAAAAAATTTTAAAGATAATTTTCATTAAATAGAGTATGTAACAAAAGTTTTTGCATAAATTTTTAAAAAAATTTTTTTTAATTAAAATGCAATATAAAAAACTTTTTCGAATATATTTAAAAAAAAAATAATTAAAAAATCAATAAATTTAATTTGAGTATAAAAACTGGATACTTTTTTTAATTCTCTGTTACCATTTCAAAGTAATATTCAATAATCACTTATATATTTTTGTTTAATATAATATATTTAAACATTATATTTTATTATCTCTAAGTTGTTTAATATATTTTTATTTTTTGATTAAAGTATTAAAAATTTGAAAAAGCAGATACCAGTTTAACTCCAGGTGAAGGCAATTGAATAAAATTAATATGGTATCTGGTGTCATAACCTGAAATGTGCTGTTTCTCATAGAAAGCTGATTTACATACTGATCCAGTGAATATTGAGATTGTGATTTTCAAAGAAAATAATATAACACAAAGATTATTTGGTTGGTATGTAATGATTATTGGAAAAACAAGAAACACAATATGTTTAGATGTACAAACAAAGCTGTACTCTATCCTAACCAATTTCATATGATATTTAATCAATGATAGTTAATGCTTTAGCCTAGACTATCCCAATTCAGTACAGAGCTCTGTTATAGGTAATAAGAATAGTTATAACTTGTATAAGTCTAGAATTGGTACAAGTTATTATTTAAGATTCAGACAATAAGATGAAAGAAAGCATTTGAACCAACTCCTCTAAGCATCACTTCTTTTTTACAATTCAGATCTAGAATAGGTTAGATGGTTTAAAATTAGTAATAGGATTTTTATCTCCTATAGATTTGCTTCTCAAAATTATTAAAGATAAATAATTAAATAATAAAATCAGATTTTTGAGATGAAAGTACTTATACAGAAATAATCTGCAAAGTAAAAACTTGTATAAGTTCTTAAATACAACTACCTATTACATTGCTGAAACTGTCCAATTTTTATAAACATCACTACTTAATTGCCACTTAATAGTTACAGTAGTGTTAACTACTATACTACTGCATTTTATTGCTACTAAATTGCTACTGTATTGTTATTATATTGCTACCATATTGTTATTAAATTATTTTTATATTGCTAAATA